ACATCTGTGAACCTTAATAAAAAAATGTAGTTTTTTACAATATATCGTTATATAATATGGGTATTTTAACAACTTAAGGCGGATCTCCATAGCATGCGTATACGTATGCGTGCGTTTGACAGAAAAATTGAATATACAAATGTTTATGGCAGCACCTACATAGCAACGCATCAAAATGTAAGAAAATTGTATGAATTTTGATTTCTAAGCGTAAATGTCAAACGCACGCATACGGATGCGCATACTATGGAGGTCCGCCTTTATTTAACTACTAAAGTAACAAAATGTAAAAATGTTTCCCATTGGTTCTAATGTACATATGCATGCATATACATACATGTAGTTGCTATCCACCACTCCTTGCATTACGATGGAAGGCCACCCCTTTCTATTAATATAATCTAGGTATCCTTGACTTGGTGGCAAGATCGGTATGTGGGTTCCTAAAATGTTTAATTTCCAGAGTTTTAGTTATGTATGGATATGCATATAAGCCTTCAGGTTGGTTAAAATTACCATCGATAGCGCCAATAATGTTTGGTATATGCGATTTTTTCTCAAATTCACTTGCAATTAATAACGCATCTCCCACCTGTGGAAACTTGATAAACTCTGTTTTTAGCTGAATTAACGCGTTCACGACGAGGTGAAAATATTTGTGAACAGTGCTTTTGTGCACACCAAAGACATCACCAATAACTCGGTATTCTCCACAGGAAGCCAATTTATATAAACAAATGGCTACTTGCTTCTCTATAGCAAGGGGTGGAGTGATACATGGCACACAATCGTTTTTAAGAAAGCACTCTAGTTTTTCGCAAAGCAGTAGGAACGATTTTTTACTCATACGGAAAGCTTCGATGTAGCACTCATCATTTTCTGGCTGCTGCAGCGTCCACCAGAAGTTCTCCTTCCTTTTCCGTTTGTGGAAACGTCGAATTCGAGGCATATTCGTAGCAAAAAATATGTTTGGTAAATTAGCCTGGGACCCAACCAATTCTCTCACATTATTTCTTTTTTCATTGTTTGAATTCCAAATATTCGCATCAGTATTTATAAGCTGATTAATAACAATCGTTCTTTTTCTTTGCCACGATTTTATAATGCCGAATAAAACTAGATTTTTCTCACTTTCCATTACGTTAACTTATAAAATGTCAAATGAAAACAGCTGATTTTGTTTGCTTTTGAAGACGGTTACTTTGATGCCGATATAAAGCCGTAAGCATAAACACTACAGCGAAATGTGTACGGTGTCAATGCGCTTTGAATTAAGTCGATTATTCTGTGCGTATAAACGTAGTATCATATGCAAAAGTTTAAAAGCTTATATGTACATGCATTTATATCTGTCCTAGTTATACGCATATGCACATACATAAATGCATACATATGTACCATGTATATAAAACAATGAATGCCAAGTTCAAGTTTATTTATTATACGAAAAGAGACAAATTAACATTTTACCCTTAAACGATTTTTTTTTTAATAAACTGCAATACATACATACATATGTACCGACATATTTCTGTACTAAATTGAAGATTTATAAAACAAAATTAAGCTTCATTTGTGAGAAGCCTGAAAACGAGAGAATTTGCAAAGTAACGTGATTTGGTTGATAAAAATAAAATAAATAAAATATACATATGAGGAGAGGATGAGGAATGCCGCAAGCCCAACAAAAAATACAAAAACATACATACATACAGTGGCGGTCAAAAATGAATGAATGGGGTTTCGTTTTTAATATTTACAATGTTTTTCAAGCTAAAATTTTTTTGATATTTTTTTATAAAAATAAGGTTCATGCTTTAATAAAAACTATATAAACTAAAATAAATAAAATGAATGCAAGTTAATAATTTTTTTTTTGTTGACAGCGTTTTGCATTTTTTCCATATAAACATGAATTTTTTGTGGAAGAATATGCGCAAGACCTTTTGTGAAAAAAATAAAAAAAGTCAACGTAAGTTTCCTAAATTTCGCTTTTTATAAGAAAAAAAAAAAACAGAAAAAGCCGTCAGCAAAAAAAGTTATTAAAAATCAATGCGATTTTTTAGCCGCTCGAAACTTCAAAAGTTCAACCAAAAAAAAAAATATTAAAAATCAACGCGATTTCCTGGCGTCTTGAAATTTTCACTTTTACCTACTTAAATTTGATGTAGTAGCGCAAAGTGCAAGTTTGAAGTTGCTAGAAAATCGCGTTGATTTTTGGCAATTTTTTTCATGCAGGTTCTTCCATACAAAGTATGTTCGACAATTATTTTTTGTATGGAGAAAATGAGCAAAATCTGAAAGATTCCATCTAAATAACATGTAAACAGTTTTTTTTCATTAAAAATATTGAACCGTATGAGATAAAAATTTTTTTTTTGGCATATGCTTGTAGGGCCTTAAATTCGTTAGATTAGTTATTTTGGATCACCCTCATGTACATAAATATGTATGTATATTGTTATCAGTCTAACTGAGTACAGGTATAAATGCAATAACAATTTAGACCTTTATACATAGACGACCAAAACACTGTTTATTTTATTTTATTACAGGCATATAATCAGGAGATAATTTTTCATTTGTATCTGGATAATGTGATTGTCAGAGTATCGATCATGCTCTACAGTTTCGCTCAGAATTTCATCAGTCGTCGGTAGGTGGGTAGATAGAACTGGCTGGGTAGTGAAAACCTCATATAGACAGATATTTTCGTACATTGGGTTACCACATAAAACGACCATTTATGATGAGTAGGTTGGCACTACGTCAAGAATTCTTCTTAGCAAATTGTAGGATTTTATAAAATCTGTATTTTGGGCTTGCGAAAAACGTCCTCCCAAAGCAGTTAAGACGCGTATGTACATTGCCAGCGCTGGACAATCGCTCCACCGTTTCTTATTCAATTTCACACTTCCTACAGTTATCACTACTCGCCAAACCTACTGTGACCAGCTATGAGACCCACCAGAAGTTTATAGTCGTTTCCAGGTCATTTAAAAATAAGTTCTGTTAATTTGAGATCGTGCGACCCAAGCATGGCTCTGGATACTTTGCATTGACACTGTAGTGACCACCTTTTATTCGCTTCTTGGAATATGTCTACGTCACATTTCGTTTTAAGAGCCTGTAGGGAGATAGATATTTCTAGAATGACTGTATAGCTTAGTAGCAGTCTCGCTATGTCCCTATGCCAAGGTACCGAGTACAAGTGAATTTTCATGGTTGACCTTAGAATTTTCAGTTCATTTCTGAATTCTAGGATATTTCTTGAGGTCGTTGTGTTTGACTCTATGGATTTTATAGCTGCTTGGTTATCTACATAGAAATTAATTAGTTTGCTATGTCCACTGCTGCTACTGAGAGTTCCGCCGCTTCTTTATCGCCATAACTTCTATCAGGAAGATACTGCAGTAGTTTGGTAGTTTGAACGACTTTTTTATTCCTAATTTGATTACTTAGACACCAGCTCCTGCGCCTTCTCATGTTTTTGAGCCATCTGTGAACATATGAATTCTACTACTTGCAGACCCTTCGATCGGTACTGACAAACTTTCGCCGACACGAGATGATATAGTCTACGTTTCCCACCAAGACCGCAAAAAAATTTAGTCCGAAATACTGTAAACAAATCGTTAATCGAGCAGCTTTCGGCTGTTGATGGGCACTGGCTACGATATCGAATTTTTTTGAGAACCGATTATTGTTCTAAAATATCAAGTGCCTTTGAAGAGATTTTTAGTTTCTACTTAGCTGCTTTAAATAGAGTTTTTTTCAATCTGAATGTGCTAAATTTTGTACGCTCTTTCGAACCAATGCTTTTCAAACATTTTTTGGAATTCAAACAATTTCGAAAGACAATGCAAATAGCTCGCCTAATTGAAAAACTGAAAACAGCGATTAAAACGTATAAAAAAAGTACTTAATGGTTTGAAAGGAAAAAGTACAGAAAAAGATAGAAGCAAAATAATTTAATTACAACTCCGTGACTGGTAAATTTTTTTAATTTTCTAGAAAAAAAAACGATTGGAAATGAGAGTAGTTTTTTTTTAATATGTAGATATATTTTCCCTAAAATTATATATTTGTACGTAAATATGTATGTATTATTTCCCATAAATATCAACCGTGAATTAACAAAAAAAAACGAGTTTATTTATTTACGAATTTTTAGGCAGTCATTTGTTAATGTAATTACTTAAGGCCATATTTCAAGTGTGAATGCTCGCCGTTGCGCGTGAAAGCAATAATGAAGTCTAAAGTTCTCATTTACATATGTACATATATACAGCTTTAGTCATAGACATGTATCTACTTACATCTTAAAAGTGTAACGAAAAATTTCCTATACATTTGGATGTTAGAAAATTTTAATAATTCTATATATACACTTAATAATTTATGTACATATTTTAATTGTTTGTGTTATGTAAAGCCAATATATTTTGTGTCTAGAAATGGTGACTACATGTTTTAAATATTCTTGTCGATGAAAAAAAATTTAATAATATTTAAAGGTTCAAATTAATTGTAAGGTCAATGTACAAATGTATGTACATACATATGTAGTGCGCTTTAAATGGGCAGGCGCTGGTGCCATAAACAAATTTCGTATTTTTTGATATATGCGTGCAATTTGTACAATGGACATTAGATTAGGTCACATATTTTTTTGTTTTGGTAATAAGTTTTCTAGAAATTAAATTAAATATTTTTTAGCAATAAAAACTAAAAATTAAATAAAAGAAATTTAAATTAAAAAAGAAAAAAGTTGAATTAGTTCCTAAAAAATGAACATATATTTTTTAAATAATATAATTTTAAAATCAAAAGATAATAGTATTAAAAAGAAAATAAAAATGAGTAAAAAAATAAATAAGTTCCTAAAAATTCCATGAAAAAATTTACTTAAAAAAAATGAATAAAAAAGAAAAAAAGATAATTTAAAAAAATTTAAATTTAAAAAATTTTGAAAATAATTAAGGTTTTACTCTTCGTAAGGTAAATAACTCCAGGCATCGAGATTTATGCATAAAAATTGTAAAATCGTTAATAAGACAACAGATTTGTAAAATAATATCTAGAGAAAATACCGCCTATCGCGGCAATGCCTTCAAAGAAGACCCGTTTGAAAAGGCTTCGACGATATGTAGGTACTTGAAAATTGAAAATTAATAAAAGATATAGGCTCTCTCCCGAAGTTACTCCTTGGCTCTAGGATGTGCGTTTATACCCCAGTGCGGACTATAATGATGAGTCTTTATCTATTGTAATTCGGTTAGGTCTTCTCTGACAGCAACAGCACGCGCAATGGATCTCCCTTATTGGAATCATTCTCACTTGTCGACATACCAGATATGTTCGTTCCTGCCCATTTGCGCTCAGAGTAGGCGCTTAGCTGTATCGGGTTTTTACCAATTAAATATTCGCGGAGGCTTCGACTTCTTCCTTGATATTGCCGGTCATTGAGCGTCTAGGATTTTTCTCTGTTAGCACAGGGATGTTGGCTTAAAACAACTCTCTTGCCACTCACATTCCCTCGAAGGATGTTGATAGGAAGAACCAGTGAATATTTACATGTACAGTTCGAAGTTTGACAGAAGGCCCTTCTTGTCCAATGCGAATTAGAAGCGGTGGGAGTTTCTTAAGTTCACTTAACTTCATACCTTTCCATTTTAGTGGGCGTCGAAGAGACTAAATACCGTACCAGATTGCAGCTGTCTGGTGTAAGTAAGAATCATCTCAATATTTTCCCCTAAACCTCCCTAGGTATGAAGAGCTTTTTCTAATACATACAGTGAGTGTCAGTGAAAATCGTACAATATTTTGATTGTTTTCTTGAAAATGTTTTATTTTATTAAAATTTCATTAACTGTTAATAAAAAGAAATTTCATACTACAACAAAATCCATATAACTCAAAGTTGCAAGTGTTCAAACTTTGTAACAAGAAAAAAAAACAAAAACTCGTAAAAAATGCAAAATCTGAAATTTTGATGAAATTTTTTGTTTTGTAGTTTGAAATTTTAATTTTTATGGTTTTTTTAGATAATAAGCTATTATGTCATTTTGAACATTATATTTTTTAAAAATGAGCAACATTTAAAATATGGAAAAAAAATGTACTGTACGTTCACTGACACACTGTATTTCGCTTAGCGGTTAACGTATAAAGTAAAATTTTGTTTTTGAATTTTTTTATAAGAGTTATTTAGAGAGTTATTTGTAAATTAGTTTTTTCACAATATGCAAAATGTTTTCCATCATAAATATTTTTCGTTAATTTTCATTAAAAAAATTCAGCTCATTCCATAACGAAAACCACATAAATAATTCTTGCAAACTTAGTACAAAAAAAAAAAATGAATCCAACTTAAAAAAAATTTCATCAAAATTTCAAACTTTATATTCAGAATTTTTAGAAAAACTTTCGGTATGCTGTTTTGTAGCCCGTTTAATTTTAGTATAATAAAGTGAAAGATTCAAGTAGCTGGAAATTACCGCTGATTTTTTAATTTTTTTTTTGTCGAGGGTGTTGCGCATTTGTTTCCATATATAATATAAGGCATGAACAAAATCTATTTTTATGATGGATTTCATCGAATTACAACTCCCCACATCGTTTTATGAAAAAAAAATATTATTAGTCACGACTTTTTCCATTTCAGTGACGATGTTGTTACGTCTTTTTCCATTTCAGGTGACGATATGTACTTATATACACTACGCGACAAATGAAAGTGTACATCTTGTTATAATATAACTAATATTCAATTTTTAACGCACGATCAAAATCTATTTTTATATGGAAGAAAATGCGCACATCCTCCACAAAAAAAATTAAAAATCTACGGTAATTTTAGCGACTTGAAACTAGCACTTTGTTTTACTAATGAATTTCAATGGGCTACAAAACTGTATACTTGAAATTTCTATCTAGAAATTCTGAATCAAAATTTTGTATTATGTACATAAATAATTAATGCAAACAATTGTTTATGAAAATAGTTGTGAATATTATATTAGCACAACGTGTACGCTTTCATTTGTCGCCTAGTATGTACATATTTTTTTACTTTATTTTAATTTCTTTTGTTTCACATTATTTAGTTTATTGTTCATTAATTTAAATTTTTAGAGTTTAATTTTAAGAAAAAAGTCCACAACTTTAATAACATTAAAAGAAAAAATTGAACGAATTAAAACCAATTCATTGAAAATTCTACTGGCCGAACTCACGACCTCACAGCTGGTTAATTTGCATTACTGCCGTCTGTCAAGGTAAATTTTTGATCAGATCAGCTGCACCGTTAATCGGAATCAACGTTGTGGTCTGTATATGCTTTAACCTAACCTAAATGTATGGATCCTTCAACAATAAGAGAAATTTTTAATCCAAATCTGTACCGGAATTTCTAAGATTCGATTACGTTGTTCTTTTAGAACTATAAATGCAACCGCCGATTTTAATTAAGATCCGCTTCGTCCTAATGTCGATGGGCACTTAACATGTACATACATATTTATATACACACCCATGCAAATAGATGCGCCCAAACGTGCACACAGCTAACCAAAATTAAGTGAAAACCGAATACAAATACTTAGCAACACACACAGGTGTATGTACTTGGGATCATACTCATATCATGCACGTAAGTATGTTAAGTACACATAAGCGCATAAGTACGATTGTGCGGAAGACCTTGTTGGCATGCGATTTCGATTTATAGTACATATGCACCTACAGAGTACATATTACCTCCTAATACTTAGTTGGTGTTCTTTTGAATTTTCACACCACACCCCAATTGAGCAATAAAAATAACAACAGTAAACAGATATCAGAATTTTCGCATACATACAGTATCGGACAAAACATTTGCAACTGAAATATAATAATGT